GCGCCTGTAGTCCCAGCTACTCGGGAGGCTGAGGCAGGAGAATGGCAGGAACCCGGGAGGCGTAGCTTGCAGTGAGCCGAGATCAGGCCACTGCACTCCAGCCTGGGCGACAGAGCGAGACTCCGCCTCAAAAAAAAAAAAACCCACTATTAGTGGCTGTCAGGTTGGCAAATTTGAGAAGACTGTTAATATCCTGTGTGGGTGAGTTTATAGTAAACAGATCCTCTTACTTGGTGATAATGTAAAATTTAAAATAGCACCAAGTGCTGGATTTCCAGATGTTCTCAGTTTGTGAAAATACACTGAGCTGGAGGTTTGTATGCTCATTTGCTTATGAATGCTAAATAATCAGCTGGGGAGCTTGTGAGCAGTGCAGATTCCTGGACCCCACGCAGGAGGTCCTGATGTGGGAAGTCCAAGATGAGGTCCATGTTTAACATTTTGAACAAGCACCGCAGCTGATTCTGATACGGGGGGTTCTGATCATGTTTTAAGAAACTGTCCTCATTCTTGGGGGAAGGAAGGAAAACAGAGGGCTGGCAGCTCCAACTCTGAGCTGGTACTAAGAAGAGTTTTGGTTCCTGACCCCTTTGTTTCCAGATTGCAGGATACCTGTATGGGGTGAGCCCACCAGATAACCCCCAGGTGAAGGAGATACGCTGCATCGTGATGGTGCCACAGTGGGGCACTCACCAGACCGTGCACCTGCCTGGCCAGCTGCCCCAGCATGAGTACCTCAAGGTAATGGAAGGTGATGGAGCCTGGGAATGTGGAAAAGCTGGCACGATTCCTGTCTGCAGATGGGATTCTGAAGAGCTCTGTACTCCTCTTTACCTATAGGAGATGGAACCCTTAGGTTGGATCCACACTCAGCCCAATGAGTCCCCGCAATTGTCACCCCAGGATGTCACCACCCATGCCAAGATCATGGCTGACAACCCATCTTGGGATGGCGAGAAGACCATTATCATCACGTGCAGGTGGGCCTGGGCTCCTTGGGAGGAAGTATGGTGGGGCAGGGATTGCAGGCCAGGGCCCAGAATAGTGACCTGAGCTGTTACTCTGTCCTCATCCCTCCCCCAGCTTCACACCAGGCTCCTGTACACTGACAGCCTACAAGCTGACCCCCAGTGGCTATGAATGGGGCCGCCAGAACACAGACAAGGGCAACAACCCCAAGGGCTACCTGCCTTCACACTATGAGAGGGTCCAGATGTTGCTGTCGGACCGCTTCCTTGGCTTCTTCATGGTCCCTGCCCAGTCCTCGTGGAACTACAACTTTATGGGTAAGTGGGAGGAGCCTGGGGACGTGGGGATAGCAGTAGTGATAAGGTGAGGCCATCGCCCGTCACACTTGGGGCCTGGCTGGCTTGGAGGTGGTGCCGGCTGCATGAGGCGGGAGCCCTGTTGACGCTGGCTGTTTCCTTCTCCCCGAAGGTGTTCGGCATGACCCCAACATGAAATATGAGCTGCAGCTGGCGAACCCCAAAGAGTTCTACCACGAGGTGCACAGGCCTTCCCACTTCCTCAACTTCGCCCTCCTGCAGGAGGGGGAGGTTTACTCTGCGGACCGGGAGGACCTCTATGCCTAGCTGTTTCCCTGCCTCCAGCTTCAGCCTCCTGAGGCCGGAGCCTCAGCCCCTCCAGACAGGCCGCTGACATTCAGCAGCTTGGCCTCTCCCTCTGTCTGTGCTTGTTGTGTTGTTCACCTCCTGATGGCTTGTCATCCTGAATAAAATATAATAATAAATTTTGTATAAATAGGAGTTCAGGGGCTGTTTGTTTTTTTTCCCCCCGAACCCAAATTCTGGATTTAGGTCTAACAGGAGAAGGAAACAGCCAAAGTTAACAGGGCTCCTGCCTCATGCAGCCTGCGCTGCCTCCAAGCCAGCCCCAGGTGTGACTGGACTGGAGCGGTTTACAGCAAGATGCTGGGCTCAGCTGTGAAGGGGGAGTATGAGGCCACCTTCCTATTCAGGGCTTTGGGGTAGATAGCCCCTGGACTCAGTGGAGACCTGAGGCGGGGCTGGGCTTTCACACACCGCTGCCTTGACCACATTTGCTGCTTTCTCTACAAAACAGTACTTGGAAGCCCTCGCCTCCTTTCCGCAGTTCTGGGAGCAGTTGACCTTTCCCGGTCTAGGAACTCTGGCTTGCGCTGAGCGGCTGTGGTGTCCAGCCCAGCCCTTTAAGCTTTCTGTGTCACTCCTGGTCAGGAAAACAAGCGCACAGGCAGACAGCTGGTGTACAGCCGGGCGGAGGCCAGTGACTGGCTGCCTACCTGTCACCTCTCGCCTGGAGTGCCCCACTGCCAAGTTGGCCCCATGACTCCACACACGGGGCGGAGCCTGGACTGGGCCTGTGGGGAGGGCTCCACTAAAGTGACCACTTGCAGCCCTGAGCCTCAGCTCTTGGACGTCTGGCTGGAAGTTGGCTGTCCTGTTTCCTGTGACCTTGGGCAGGGAAGGGACAGGGTCCAGGGGACTTAGGACACTATCTCCCTTCCCCACGCCTTCTCCCTCATTCCTCCCCACCCTTCTCGCTTCTACCCCGCCCACACAGCCCTAAAGGCTTCCTGGGGCGGAACTGTTTGGCTTTTCCCCGTCTCAGTTGAGGGTGGAGGGGTCGCAGCCCTAAGCCTGTGGGGGACATGGAGCCCAGAAGGGCAGTGGCGCCTGGCTGGGGGTCTCGGGAGGCCGCGGGGTCGGGAACGGCCGCGGAGCTTGTGTACCATCTAGCCGGGGCCCTGGGCACTGAGCTGCAG